AAAAGGGGTTCATACCTTGGTAAAGTAAAATAAATCTGTTAAATATTCTGCCTTGACATTAAAATTTTATTTCCACTCATACAGGTCAGACAGGCACGGGCTATTATGACCAGTCCTGGCATTCAGCTCGTGTAGCCGAAACTAGGACACATGAAGGATATCTCTTCAAACGAGGTGCTCTGTTGAAGGGATGGAAGCAGAGATGGTTTGTACTGGATTCTACAAAACACCAGGTTAGTATAAACCACCAAGTCTTGCGTCACTGTAATTTAGCACTCGAAATAAAATTGTTTACTGATCTATTATATTGTACTGTAAATGCATTAATTATTCATTCACTGGGTTTTAATTTTGCTATTTTCGCTGATAAGTAAAATATGCTGAATTAAATCTATGTGAACATGTAAAATAACAATAAAACTGTTTCCTTGACAAATTCGTGAAATTAAAACACATTAAATATGCTCAAAACAACAAAATAGTAAAAATAAATGTCAGTGAAAATAAATGGTTTTGCAGTATGTGAAGTCCGTAGACTTATAGTCACTATTGTTTGTCTTCAGCTGCGTTACTATGAATCCAAAGAAGACACACATTGTAAAGGCTTCATAGATTTATCAGAAATTGAATCATTACAACCTGCCACGTCGTTACCTGGAGCACCCAAGAAAGCAGACAATTCAGCATTCTTTGATGTAAGTATCCTTCTCCCGTTCCTTATATCATTCATTTAACCTTGTACATAGTGTATTAACGTACACGAGTGTAGTACGTCTGTCCTTGCCATGCTCGGCGTTCCAATTGTTAACTGTGCGAGATTTAGATATGTTGTAAGATGAAGCAATCAAGATTTGCTGTATGTTTTCTTTGAGAGAAAGCTGAGTAAACATTGTTCCCATATTGAATGTATACCCTTCTTCTTGTCTTATCCTGCAGCTTAAAACCATCAGAAGAGTTTACAATTTTCTAGCAGACTCCAAAGACGCTGCGGATGAATGGATCAACAAGATTCAAGAATGCCTCTGAATGTACGGCGCTATTGCTTGCAAGGCCTTGATATCAACACAAATTCAGTATCACGGGGGAATCTTCCATTTTCAGGGTTAATTCGCCACAACTTATGTACATATTTAATATAACTATTAATTACATAAATTTTATTATGTGTATCATGTTTCCTGAAAATGGAGGTGCAGCAAACCTTTGACCTCACACGTGATGTTTGACCTTTGACGCCCTGACCCCCTACAGCTGGAATCATTAGATTACTTTACTCTCCAGTGAATTTGTTATTTTAGACTGTTGAGCCTCCCCTGGGTATCGTGGTTGGTACTCACATACTGACAGAAAAGTCTTGTCATCAGCCCTTGATACACATCATACTTACCCCATTCATATCTTTAGATATTATCCTTATACCAATCAGGCTGCCTAGATACAGGGAGGATATTTTAACCTACAAGAGCGATATTCCCAACTGTGGGGGGAAATTGAACAACACTTGTTTTGCTTATTTATTGATTTTTTTAACCACATCAAGGGTTGGATAATCCAAAGGGCTGCAGTGCATTCTGATGATGATTACATTTAGATTACAACATTATACACATGAACGTGGTTATGAAATGAACAATGATTTTAACTTTCCAATTGTTTACACTACACACTCCATGGTTTGAGTTTAAATGCATTTATATGCAAACAACGACGCTTATTTACATATGATGTTTCAATATATGTATCATCTCCTGGTTGCCTGGGATTATCACAACACGAACTGTATCACAACCGGCTTCACTTTCTCGACTTCTTAAACTTGATCTAACTGTAGTATGAACGCCACAATTTCGTCTATCACCAACCCATCTCTACTGCGTAAGGTCAAAGACGTGTTGATTATCACGCGCACACAGGTACTAATGAAGGCAACCAGCATGGATACATGGTTCATACTGTTAGTTTATACAGTTTATATTTATAATCAGATTACACATCTTTGCGTTATAGAAGTTTGTTACATTGCATTTGACAATCACATTAATATCACATCACTGACATTTACATAATATTTGACGTAGTTCAAAGTTCATCACGACAAGATAAAGTGAAATGCACCTTTGGATTATCTCGCCTTGACATCATATCGTCAGGTAACAACGTCAGTCGGTTTTAACTACATTATGGAAACGTAGTGGTATATCATTGGTGTCACACATAATGCCGAAATTTCACACTCTTGCTTGCCGTTATATTTTACGAGAATTTTATTTTAAAAAAAAATGCCTATACCCTATGCCACGGCTGAATCTCATGTGCAATGTTTTCTTTTAATATTTCTAGATAGCTTAACAATTTGTCAACGCAGTATGGGTTTTTTTGACCCAGTATTTTCCATTTGAAAAAAATCAAATTTGCCATAATGAAATCAGTGTAGTAAGTTCAAATTGTATTAATTTCAGTCGTAGCCTGCAATTGTTAATATTTTAAGTTACTGAACTTTTTTTTTTTTTTAAACCACAACCTGCAATCGTGAATAAATTAATTTAGTATATTTAAGCTCAATGGACATGCAACTCATTTCTAGTGAACTGGTTGTGCCAGAGCTTGGAAAATATGCATTTTCTCTGTGATGAATTTATTTGCAAGTCTCTTAATCCAGGGACTGGTGCATGTCGTTAATAATTAATTTTACAGCAGAATAAAACAATTGGGGATAGTTATAAGAAAGAAACAATATTTTATTCTTTTTAAAACTCAGTGTTTGTTTATCACAAGAGAGTATTTCCCCTGAGGCTGGTTGGTTGTCCTTGTTAGGATTCTTTTTTTTTTTTTTTAAATTAAATTACATTTTCTATAGTGTTAGATGAGCAGTTGTCGTTTTGGATAATGTCACTAGATTACATGTGCATTCTGTAGTTTTCAATTTTGTGCAGTTTGTAAATTTTGTATAAAATTCTAGGATCCTCCCTAAATTTGAGGAACCCCTATTTGACATATTTATTGTTAGTTTGTACAGTATTGTGTATTTTTTATTATTCAACAAAACACAAGTCACCCTTGAAGTACTGGTTGGTTGAATATTTTCATCACAGGTTACAGGAAGTGATTTTAATCCCGTTGGTGCATGTGAACTTTGACATTGAATAATTATTATTTGACCTCATTCTGGATGTAAATTATCGGCATGTAGCTTTTCAAAGTCATGTGACCTGCTTAGTATTTTAAAAACAACAACCAGTCACAGAGCTCTTTTAATCACATGGTCATTTTTGGAACATTACATAAAGATATTAAAATATTAATTTTTTTCTGTATATAGTGTTTTTATTTCTACTATGTGCTTGCAACGATATGTACATACACAACTCCATAGCCGCACCTTGCAAATTTATTGCACACAGTGTTTTTTCACCAATTATGAATTCGTCCATTATTCAAATATAGAAAAATTGGGTTTATTTAATTGGTTTTCCGGGTAACAGCTGATTAAGTAATCAGTACTCTTACTCACTTTAGGTTGTGTTCTTAATTGGACAAAAAAGAACTATCAACCTAGGATGGAATATACCATATTAAACAATAAGTATTCATAGTGATATTGAAATCATAATGTAGTAAAACTATTTGAACACTTGCACTCAAACCACATCAGATCATACTGGGATGAATGCAGTGAGTCGGCTATGTTCACAGTGATAAATGCAATTATCAAACCCAACATCGTGATAAGTTTGTACATCGAGGTGTGTGTGTGTAATTCTCAATTGGACACGTCTAGATAAAGTGACACAGCTAGATGGAATGGAATGTTTATGCTCCTTGTAACAAATTGAGCCTTTGTCAACAGTAATGCCAAAGAGAGCACATGGGCATCATAGGGCCCCCTCGAATTTTGTACATACACATACATGCCTAAACTACTATGTTCACTATGTCGACATTCCTTTTCGGGGGCAGAAATGCTGGATTTTGCTAAAATTCTATGCTGGTAAACAATTGATGAGGCAAATGTTTTTTAATTAAAACGGCAAATGGTTAAAAAGACAACACAAAGTAATACATATATGTATATGAATTGAAACTACGGTACAACAATCATGGGTATAATCAAGACATATTTTCTCAAATTTGAATACAATAATTAATTATTAATAAATATGCATGTATTTAAGAAATTAACAAATCCAAATTGGTAGTCTTAGAATTGTCATAAATTACAGGAAAATAAACATTTTTTTTAAATAAAACGCTGAACAGCTAATATAGTGATGAAAAAAAAGTATTGATGTTGCATATGTATTATAAATTCACAATAGTTAGAATATTTATTGAGCAATCCAGTGATGGCGTTAACAATTTAAACAAGTGAACATCATCTCTATATATAAACAATCAAGCTTCCCAAGGTCGACACAGAACACAGAAGTTATCTATCAAGACAATTTAAAAAAATGTTTTATTCTGGGCATGTTACTAATAAAAAGAACCTTCATTTCTTATATCTTAGATTCTATAAATACAAGTCATTTGTTTGAATCAGAATCTTTAGTATTTGAAGCCACATCACCCACTCATGAATGTAACCTTTGACCTAAACCGGTGTCGTCATACTTGATTTTGTTAGCTATACAATTTTTTTACATGGTACATTTACAGCTCACACATTTTGTGATGTAATTTATTTCTCTGTTTTCCAATGACAACACCCAACATGAAATAAGTATAGGGTCTATGACTTTGGTGTAGGGTGTGGTGTAGACGTTTTAGCAACTATTCTCTATATTTCTGGGCTTGACATGAACCAATCATAATACTATATTTCAATTTGAATGAAAACAAAGCATGGAACTTCACAAATTTTTTAAAAAGATTTTATAAAATAACGTACATGTTTTTAATATTCTCTGATCAATCAATTTGTGTCCCTCAAATTGATTGATTAATAAAAAAAAATATTTAAACTGAGCTTTTATATGGAATTCTGATTCATAAAGTGAATAATTTTTCTAATACGTTTCCATTTTGTTATTATTAAGTATTTCTATTGAAAGCAATACAGATCTTCATTTGTGCTGCACCAGCAATACAGATTTTCATTGGAGGTGCCCAACCAATATTATCCATCAAATCCCACAGTTTTCCGAACTTCATGTAAACTTCTCCGCCCCCCGAGATCGCTCACGGAAATTTATTTCGGTAAAATACATAATTCTGATTAGTTAAGCTTGTAAAACAAGTGCCAAATTGGGGTTTGCAAAGTACATTGCATGATAACAAAATTTCTAATCGCCAAAGAGGGCGCACTTAGATACACACTTGCTGAATAGGATCTGCCAAGACATGGTGAGCTGATAACCGAATAAGGCGACATTGGCTCATGAAAATGGATCAATGCAAACTGCCAATGGAGGTACATAAATTACTCACAAAACACCATATCTCAAATACTACAATGTACTACAATTAATTTGTCAGTTTGACAAAACCAAAAATGAATATTTTCATGTCAGCTGCAAAAGTGAAAAAACACTACAGGTGTTACTGACTACATCTAATATTGCCGAAAATCGTTGCCAGGCACACTTCATCAAAATATGATAAAAATTAACTATTATTCTAAATTAAGATTGATCCATTTTTTACTAATCTTCACTGAGAACAAAATCTCAAATTACATGTGCAGTAGAGTACAATGTATTTCAGTTGTTTTGGCTTTAAAAACATTTTAGGTATTTACTATCTATATTTCATTGTTTTCAGTTAATATTTCAATATAATTCGTACTTTGAAAAGTGCACCTTTCAAGGCATTATACCATATAATGACATAGTCCCTGTTGGTCTATGGCTGAATTGAACACAAACAGGGGAACAGTATCAAGAAAATCTCGAGACAGAAGACAAACTGGCATATATATGAAAACTATTATGTATTGACTTTGTCTCAAATTGGTGCAGTATATATTCAGAGAAATTAAATCATGTCAGCCATTTTGAATTAAGCCATGAAACTAATCATCTTACATCAGTAACCCACCATGTTTGATGTTGATACCAAGTTTCAAAGAAATCAGTTGAGAACATGTTAAACTTTTGTGATTTTAAAATGAAAATGATTGCAAGTAGTCTCAGCACAACAAAGGCATTCCCTTCATCTTTATAAATATTTATAAATTTCAACGCTAAATACAACAAGCCAATGAATGAGCACAGTGTGCAACATCATTTGAAAACATTCCAATGTTATTCTATCAGTTAATGAAAACCCTTTATTTCAGATTGAATTGTGAAATTTATAAATATATAATAAACATGAATGGAATGCCTTTGTTGCACTGAGAGTAAATCCATGTCACACTTCCTTTATCTCTATGCAGTACAACTTTTCAACAGTAACATAACTAGATTTTGACTCTGCTAATGTTATGTCATTTTCGATACTTCCTGGTGAATCTGAAATACCACATGGACCCAGTAGGTGTATGCCTGGATCCACCACTGCTGTAACTGTAATCTACTTTATGGTAGATTTGGTTTGTAGACAAATACATTCACCATTTTGTACATGGGTTTTCAGCATCCATTATTGCACATGGTACATGTATAAAAAAAAAATAATGTGGTTCTTTCCACTTAAATGTTGGTGCAATGTTCATATGTATTTTTAAGGTGATTTAGACCCAGAGAGACACAAATTCCCATTGGCTACAAGTCTTGATGAAAGAGACATAAATTCCCATTGGCTACAAGTCTTGACGAAAGAGACACAAAA